ATTTTATAACCAAAACTAAATTTTTGAGTGTAYGATAACCAATATATAACCAAAACCCAAATTKCGTTTCAATTTGAGTTKCTCTATTCCATCGTTTTTACTTCGTCTGAAAACTTATGAAAAGTGATGTTACGTTATTTTGCATTTTAGATGACGATATGCACATGAATATGTATGTATAGCAAACCACGTAATTAGAAGTAACTAATACTAATGGTGATTCAAGTTTACTTTCGGAACTTTTGGAACATGGAAATTACATCGTTTAGTTGCTTACATGTTAAATATGTTCTAAAAAACAAATATTTCAACTTTCTCTTACAAAATAAATTTTTCAGAGCAATGTAAACCAAATGCGATTTCTTAAACCAAAAAATAACTTTCATATTTATAGTATTTTAATTAATTTTAGGCGCTTTATTATCACGTAGTAACAAATACACATATTTCTTTCTGCTACTTTCTGCTTTCTTCTGTCATTTATAGTAAATCTATGTTTACGTATTTTGAATGTCTATTACTGTCTTTCTTCTTGGATTGCTTTGAGAAATTTTCTAAAGCCCATTCAATTCCAATTTGTTATCTTTAAGCAAACAAAAACCCATTCACACTAACTACTTTGACAAACCGCAAAAACTAAATCAACTTCCATCCGCAAGCGAGGTCACTGTGGCTGCGGCGAGCTTTCTTATTAGGCAAATAACAATTTTGCGAAAGTTTTTTGATTTCACTCAAGTGCTGCCAACGGCGCTCGCACACWGCCACACRCCGCAGCGYCGCGTCGCCCTCTGCCACTTGGCGCGCGCAACTAAAAACTTGCTAATCATTATACTTTACGCTGCCTCCGTCTTTCCGCGTTCCTGYGCGCCTTGTGGCGCTCGCTTTACAATTCACAATTTTAATTTTAGTTACACAGCGCATTGATACATATAATTATACATAGCGGTACATGGAGACAGACCTCAATACATAAGTATGACATAAATTAATTTTAATTTTAATTCTTAACTAACAAAAACAACGAAAGGAAAGAGCGAAATATTAAAAACTTTTATCATTCGCATTGACAGACGTTGTGACGAGTGCAAGGCGCTGGCGCTTATGCGGCATGTGCAACGGCTCAGCGCAGCTAATTCAGCAGCTTTCAAGCGCAAAGGCGAGATTTGGAGTACAGCGGGAGAGCTAGGAGTACAGAGAGACGACACTACCAGCACAGAGACGATACTACTAGCACAGTGATGGAGCTCCACGCTGTGGGATGGTATTGCGGGCAGCCCGGTCATACAAGCTTTCGCCAGCTTTTACGCTTTGTGCGCATTCATTCATGCAGTCAAGACATCCATTGCGGCGAGCTGACGATATTTGAAGACTTCAGACTGCGGACAGTTGCTGSGGACGTTGAATTGCAGGTTCTTGATTTCTGCTGCCGTCAGCGGTGCGCGCTAGGTGGTCGTGGTGGTAARAAGTTTGGAATGTTGGTGGCTTTCAAGCTTTGCTTGCCGAGATCTCTCGCTGGTTGAATTGATTTGGTTGCTGTGTGTAGGCCAAGTGGTTGGCGCGCACTCCCACCGCGTCACAGCTAAACTAACTCTTACCTATATAATATATAGTGTCTCTAAATCTATTAACATAACTGTACTGTAGGCTCATCTGTCGTCGTCCCGCGTAAGTTCCACTAGTGTCGCTGCTGCTGCTGCCAATCTTGGCAATTAGTTATGCACGCTTGTCTTTMTCTTAGACAATTTTCAAATAGCAGTGGGAATGGCAGCGGGCGCTCGAGGTGGGGAAAAATGTATGCAGTAACTTTTGCTTTTYACTCAACTTGTGGCCGCAGCAGCAACAACAAGTAGAGCGTATCAGGACAAAAAAAAAAGTTCGCCAAAGTTGTGGAGCGTATTTGAGGACTGCGGGTGTTCGTGTGTGTGTGTGTGTCTTTGCGTTTGTTGCGAAAGATGTTAGCATTTACTAGCTGTAAATACGAGTTTTAGCCGAGCGGCGTTGCTGTCGGTATGCACCCATACTGCTGCCCGTTGTTTTCTTGCTGTTTTTGGCAGTGCTGAGATAGCACTCGCAATTAAACGAAACGTAAATATAATATTTAGAAGTGCGCGACGCAGAAATTAAAATAACGGAAGACGGTCAATACTGGGAATACGTGTGGGCGTTATTTGGACAGTGTTGAAATGCATTACTCAAGGGAACATGTCTTTCGTTTACTTAAATTCTTAGTCTGTGGTTTCAAAAACTTGTCTTAAGGTGTTTGTTTCAGGCAAATATCTAAACTTAAATAATCTAGAGAAATAGCGAAAAGCCCTCTCTACTTTACCTCAGTACCTAGAAGTGCTTTAATTATATAGTACAGGTGTCGCTTCCTGTATTTTAATCAACCCTGAGCAAGAAATGAAGGAAATAAAAGTTTCGTTTAGACAAAAACAGGATTGTATGCAGAAATGTATTTAAACGCTTTTCTCGCAAGGTTTCTATATTTTATCGAAAGCCCGATATACAGAAGGWCTTGTAGTTGACCTTCAGTTCACTCCCTAGCCTAGCAAGTTTAAAGGCTATACACCCTACTTCCACCGGAATAGATCACGTCAGTACACTTCCAACCCTTAGAGACGCAACGATAGGATAGGAATCCGCAAACGTAAGACGTTTGGATAGCAGCATACAATCTCTCAATCCATTTAATAAAGACATTTCGCCTAAGCCAGAATCAATGGATACCTCCTCTGGAATGAACAGACAATTAAAGTAAAACGAGCCGATCGAGAGTAGCAYAACTCTCTCAAGGAACTCAAAAGCATCCAGGAAAATCTATCAGAGCTCAAGATCAGGATTCGGCATTCAAAATACAACATAAAACCACAAGAAACTGGATTAGATGAAGAACAGTAGACGGTTCTGGTCCTCAAGATATCAACACCAACGGTTAGACTTTACATTTCACAAATATCCAGCAACCTTTCGGAAGGCTGCTTAAATTTTGGATAGACTTTGGGGTTTCGTTATCATCAATTAGCCCGGTATTCATTAGTGAGAAAATGCAGATAGATACTATATAAAATAGTAAGTAATCTGTAAGGTTACCAGTAGATTTAAAAATGGAAATATTTCCGTAAAGCCAATACGACTYACAAACTGCATTATAGTTTCAGAAGGCTTATATTCTGCTAAAAACTGGTCTAGCAACCTTGAAGTTAGGAACTTTTCAAACAAAGAGCAACCCAATAATGGTAGAATCGTTTCAAGAAGAAAACTTAACAGAATTTTCCTTCTTGAAAAAAAGGAAGAAAACTTACCAGAATTTTCCTTCTTGGAACATATAGTTTCAATAAAAGGTTTAAAACCGAAATGCGCTCAAATTGTAGCCATAAAGAAATTTCCCATCCCAAAGTCAAAGAAATCAAAGCAATTCCTAAACTATTTTATTATTATTATTATTATGTTAATATGGGAAACTTATAAAGGATTTCAAAAAATTAATAAAAACCTGTGACAAAACAAAAATTGCAGACAACAGTTTGGACTACTAAGTACTTTAGACCCTACTTATTTGACCGCAGGTTCAAGATAGTTACAGACCACCGTCGTCTCCCCTTGCTAATGAAAAATTCGACTATCAGATCGTTAAGTACTGATAAAATCCAGTTGCAGTAACACAACTCACAGGACAGCAGGAGCATACAAAATTCATAACAACAGCTGCCAATGGGAGATGCGTGGCATTACATAACACGATAATTTACTTATATTCAATGAATAACCTATTAGCATACCCTATTCGATGATCAAGACCGAAGTAAAATTGACAAGCTCACATTACAAAAGCTGTAAGAGGAGATCTATTAAGAGGAAGACATTAACGCGAATAAAAATTAAAATTTGACATATTTACTAATCGTAAAAAAGAGGGACTCTCACTACTTCCATTTGTTAAACAATCTTGAATTTTGAATCTTGTCAATATTGCATATAATGTTAAATTAGGTTCATTAGTTACCTAATTGAGGTATAAATTCAATCTTTCCAATTATAGAGATATAATTTAATCTCTCCAAATATATTCAGCTAAAGAGTTTAGGCGAGTTTAGGATTATGAGAGATACGATTATTTTTGCTACAAGTTCACTTTAGGCAACTAAATCGATTATTCAATTGACGGATTAGTTAAAAAATAAATCGTTCTATAGCGATTTGTAGAAGTAGTGYCAATTAACTAATTACGCAATTAGCATTTTCTTAATTACCGATTAAGTAGCTCAATTAACTAATGTTGCAATTAGTATTTACTTAATTGCCAATTAATTGATTCAATTAACTAATGTTGTAATTAGTATTTACTTAATTGCCAATTAATTGACTCAATTAACTAATGTTGTAATTAGTATTTACTTAATTGTCAATTAATTGACTCAATGAACTAATGTTGCAATTATTATTTCCTTTATTGTCATTTAATTGACTCAATTAAGTAATTGCACAATTAGTATTTACTTYATTGCCAATTAATTAGCTCATTAGGGGGTAAATTCAGTACAATTARTCACCTTAATTGTTGCATTAGGAGTGTAATTAGTAATAGAGTGTCGAATTCTTCTCAAATTTATTAAATTCTTTCGAAAAAATATTATATTATGCAGACCCCTTAAATAATTAGTATTTGACTGTATGCCAAAATGGTGTTTTATTTTGCGTCAGGTTTTTGTATAAATTAATTATTTTGTTATAAATTGATTGTCAGTGCCATAAATACTAATTACGCAATTAATTAATTATTGTATTATGTGCTAAATTGAGTGCAATTAAGGAATATTATATTTAGTTCACTTAGGAAAATGCTTAGTAATGATCGGCCGAATTAAWTTGCGAATATCCTTCTTTCATAATAACTTTTTGTTGATAATGTAAAATTTGAAGTAGATGAGGAAAGTAATTTGGGATTCAAATTTTTAATTTTATTTAAATCGTTTAAATTACATTTGAAATGTTTAAATTGTATGCAAATTTTAAATATTTTTGTTTTTAATAGTAGATATTTTTTTTTTAATATTTTCTAATTTTATCCATAACAAAATCGCAAGTGAAAAATACTCTTTCTTACATTATTTTGACTCATTTAATAATTTTGCAATTCCAAGGCAATTTTCTAACCTCAAAACTCATTTCATAAATCAACGCTGCGCCACACAGTACTAACCAGCAACGACATGAGACAAAAGAAACAACAAATTTACATTACCTGTGTACACTTTTCGCCTAACTACACCGCTGTGCTTTGCTATGGGAGTATATGTAGATGGTTTACTGTTATATTGACCATTAAATTAAACCTGCTGCGAAAGCTGCCAGCAACAAGACGATGAGAGATGGAATGCATTAACAGACACACTCATACACAAACACACACAAAATTGCAATAACTCCTGTGTGCAGCTCATTTAAGCTGCTTGSCACACCGACAACAGCGCCCCACAAATACGCATATTACGGCTACAATGATAACGATAATGACAAGAGCAATAACAAYACCAACAACAACAATGAGAATGGKRTATTGGTTGATTTCATTGCCGCTKCTGCTAACSCTATGCGTGACCAAATCAGAGACTCYGCAACAGCTGAGCATAAACCGTTTGCCGCTGTGCGAATTTCTCAAAGGCATCACGGAAACGCGGCCGCTGCTCCGCACTCAATTTCGCATGRAAATCTACGGCAGCTGTCACGAACAAAGCAATTTCATGTTGACCCAATTTATGGAATTCACCAACACCACCAGCCACAGCACCAGCATCCGCACCATCGCCAGCGCCGAGCGTAAGACCAGCTGCCGKTGAAGCATCAAGATTACCAACGCCGCCAACCGTGCCTCCACTAGCGCCTGCAGCTGCTCCACCTCCAACATCGCCGCCGCCGMCCGTCGTTGAAGCTGCTGTGGCAGCTGCTGCGGCACCGGTGCTCAGCAACACCGGAAATAGTTTAATCAAATGCAGATTTATGGAAGCGGATAAAAAGATGACGCTCAGACACCAGACAGCTTTTTGTTCAGGTAAGGCCAGGAATGTGGGCAGCGAGCATATGAGCCAGTCTTGCAGCACTTGCAGGAATGTCGAATCGATGGCGCAGCGGAAAACCTGTTGAGAAGCAAAAGAARAACGTGTGTGAGAGAGCGAGAAAGAGAGCGGAGATTTATATGAATRAGTGCATTTACAAGAAAAATTAGTTGCAAAAATTATATTTTATTTTGTGAGCTGAAAATTTTAGGACAAAATGGCAGCAAGAAGCACTGTTACACAGCTGCAAGTGTACGTATATACATATATAGGTGTGAGTGTGTGTTGGCGCTAGTAAATCAAGTGAATTGCACTGCAAAAGGAAACTGACAAAAACGCTAAGGAAATTAAATGTTGAATGCTGCACATTGAGTGGAGCGCAAAGAATGTTGCATGCCGCATGTTGCACGTTGAATGTTGAATGTCGAAAGTACAACGTTGAGCGCGCGCCTGTGCGTGTGTGTGTGTGTGTGTAGCCAGTTGAAATGTGGCGCTTTCAACAATTTGTAGCGACGTTGACTAATATGAGCGGGTGTGTGTGTGTGTGCGAGCGAGAGGGAAAATATTTAAACGGCAAATTACGAAAAATCAAGAGGACGACAACCAAATTGGGTGTTTGTTGCCAGCAAGTGGCGGCAACAACAACTGGGCAAGTGGAGCGCGCGCACGCAATTCAGAGTATAGCTATGTGTATGTATGTATRCATAWATGTTTGTATATGTGTGCGTGAAGTGTGTTTATATGTATATGTGTGTGTATGTAGGTGAGTGGCAGGGCACTAGAGCAACGGCAGCATTACTTAAGGCCAGCTGCTGCCGCTTCAGCGCCTGTAAGTATGCCTCGCATTCTTAAAATGCTGCAAGCAGCCGAGTGCCGTTAAGAAATTGCCAGCGCCAAATGCGGAAAGTCAACAATGGCGAAATTTCCAAGGCAAATATTTAAAGTTGCAATGCGTAAACTGTAAGCTGAAACGCGAATTAAATGCATTTGCTGCGCTCCAGCAAGCAAAACCTAGAGCTCGAAACTGAAAGTGCTGCCCAAATA